TCAGCCTCCTGAATGGTCGGGGTTACAGGCATGTTTTGCCATGCCTGGCCTAGATGAAAGGAAAGTTATGACAAACATGGGAAACACATTGCTACTTTGGTACTTTATTTGTGGTGTCTGTATTAGCTTTCCCTGTGCTGGCCACAATAGTTCACAACTTAGAAGAGGAGAGTATTATCTGGCCTATGTTTGAGGGCATTTAGTCCATGGAATGCCGGCTCTAAGGCAGAAATTACATAGTGGTAATGCATGGTGAAATGCAGCTGCTCTTCAGTGGCATCCAGGAAGCAAAGAGGACCCAGGAAGAAACTTGAGAATCAGTTCTAGGCCATGCCCTACTGACCATCTCCAGCCAGGCTTCACCTCCTGGCACATTTAGCTATAAATTCTTGTGGGTTAATCTACTGTCATAGAAACCCCATGATCCAACAGTGTTCTACAGGTCACACTTCTGAACACATAAGACTTTTGGAAAGATTTTAGATCTAAACGATGTCATCAATTTTCACAGGTATTATTACTTACAAAAGTTAAAAGGAATACCCTACCTCATTCTCTATAAAAGGAAATTGATATTAGAATGCATCATAAGTGCCAGAATCTTTTCTTTGCTTGACTTGATCATATATATGTCCTGCTCAGGAAGTTTGGAAGAGGAGGACAGGATTAAGTTCTGCCTTTTTTTAGGTATCATTTTGGAGTCAACGCAGCTAAGACTCTTACTTTGTTGTACAATACTTGCTTTGTTAAGGAGGCAGTTTCAGAGTAACATGTAATAGTGAGATGAAAATTCTATAGTCAGAATTGTCTTTAGTGATTACATCTCATGATACTAAACATGTTCCAGCGACTAATTTTATGTTAAATCTGCTTTTTTTTTCAGTCTGCGTTTCTATATGATCTCATTTCTTCAGTTTATTTCTCAGGAAACTCATTAACATTCATTGCTTATTTCATTTGTCTTCAATCAAAACACATTTAAAGTCATTTACATGTTCTTTCTATAAGATTTAGTGTACACATGGCAACTGTCAGACTTCTGACATTCATATATTATTTGGGGATTGTGAAATACAATACCCCACATGATTGATTGTGTAATTTAAAGTGACTTCTGCTCAGAAGATGCCACTTCACTGTACTGACAGTATTTTGACTTTATCCTAGTTACTGTAATTACCTATAGCAAATGCAGAGTAAAGATGTCTGTTTACTGTTTTGAACTATTACTTTCTTAAGAAAATCGTAGATTTTGATTCACCCTGGGATGATTTACAGACTTAATTTTTTTTTAAGGAAACTTGTGTCTAATTTTAGTCCAAGCATAGCCTAGTGATTTTTATTTTAATTTCTTTTAAAAACCACTGAAGCTTGTAAATACTAAAGGAGAATAGTAAAAACAATTTAAAATAATGAAAACAGTTTTTCCAGGATTGCTCTTCTCTGTGCAGTTCTGACTGCCTGTGACACTGGCACAATCAGCCCAAAGGGGTTCTGCCTGCGTGCATACTGTGCTGGGCGTTCTCAGAGCAGGCTCCCGGGCCAGTGTGCACCTTTGTAAAGGTAAATGCCTGCTCTTTCTTAGAGCTTTTGGCTTTTATCCCCACGAACTTTCATCACTCATTCATTTATAGAATGAGAAGGAGGAGGAGGAGCAATAAAAGGTGAATTTCATGAGGACCACTAACTGTAATGCCTATTTTATATTTAATTTCTTTTGCAGAAATGTGGATAAAAGCCAAGGATTTGGGCATTCTAGGCATGTGCTCTACAACTGAGCTGCAGCCCCGGTCCTGTTGATTATATTAAGAAGCATAATACTTGAATTTCTTGCTGGATCTTACTATGGTTCCAGGACTTGTGCAAGAATAGAACACTTTGGTTAATTTAAGGATCCTTGAATTAGAATTAGGTTCAAGTGTTATAGCTCCCTTAAAAAATAAGAATGAGATTTACTGCAAAGAAAAGGCTATTGTGATTGATTTGAAGAACTTGCAAGCCACTGTTAGTGTCTCAACAATGGTGGGGATTTACTAAAGTTTTGAGAGCCTTTGTAAGCAGAACACCGAAGCTCTGGGAAACTTCCCATAGGTCAGGACATCTTGTTAGAAGAGACAAATTAGTGAATAAATCACAGGGTGTAATATTGAGGCCGTGTGCTCCTTTTCCCTGCAGTTTTTCAGTTTTTACCTCAATTTTGGGTGAGTTTTTGAGGCTTCCTTTCTCATTTATGTTATCTTCTCCAGTAGCATGGAAGGAAGTTCTAGTCATATTTTAAAAAGTAGTTTCTCCAGGAGTATATAGTTGTATGTATGCATATAGTTGTATGTATGTATATATAGTTGTGTGTAAATTTTACAAAGTTAAAACTACTCATTTTTATTTCTTCTTGAATCATACAAGTAATTTCTTTTGTGTTTGAAAATTTTTTTAAATCATCAAATCAAATTATTATTAGTGTAGTTATTATTATTTCATTTGTATAGCAGTTTTCATTTTATATTTTCACTTTTATTCATGTATCCCAGGATATATTCATGTGTCTTACTCTAGGGTTAGTTTCTTTTTTCCTAGAGTGTATAACTATTAATGAAGGATTAATGGTTAATTAATTTTTCTCTGAAATTTTATGCTTACTTTTAAAGAACCTGAAATAGCACACTATTTCATTATTGTTGTTAAAAGGAAAACAAGTAGTAAGGCAAATTCAGTATACAATTTTTACTTCTCAAAAATGTATACCTCTGTATGGTATTTACGATATCAATTGTGTTACTTATCCATAGCCTTGCCCTTCTTATGGTATGAGTAATCAAGAATAATCTGCAGGAGATTCAGAGTCTGTTCTCTATTACAAAATTACTTCAAAATAGTTTCCCTTTAATTCCCATGAGATAGTACTTTTTTGTTGTTACGCTAATTGGTATTCTATAAAAATATCTGAATTTGGCTTTAGTGAATTTTCTTTTGTTCCTTTATCTTTCTAGGCATTGAGTTTCCTTATAAAAGAGTTATTCTCAACTAATTCTTTTTTTTTTTTAACTCATTCTTATTTGTTGCAAGTTTATTGTTTCTTACAATTCTGAAAATAAGCACTTATTTGATCCAAAAACAAGACTTGGCGTGCCATTTGCATATTTGTAGCTCTGATAAAGTGGTAACTTGCATGACCCAGTGTCACCAAATTCTCCCAGTCTCTCCAAAACTTGCCCCGCTTTCTGAGCCTTGAGTAAGTAGGCTTTGGGACCAGTGTTATTTGGAATTTGCAGGTTTAAGTTGGTGCTGCAGGGTAGGAGCCTGGATTGCTTCCTGTGTTCGGTTATCTACTTTCATGCTACCTCTGCAACTTCACCAGGGATCTCGCTATCTGCCTTCCCGCAGCCTGCACCATAGCAGTGCTACGCTCTCTGTCCGGTTGCCTAAGGTTTCATTCTCCAGTTACCGCTGGACCTTGGCTTGGATTCTTTCCTTCCATGAATGCTAGTGGATAAACTTCCAAGCTAATCATTTCTGTTGGCACGACTAACTTTCCCAGACAACTCATTTTGTTCCTACAGTTCCTATTCCAAAGTACTGTGAGCATTTTAGAAAAGAACATCTGCTTTTTGAGAAGAAAAAATACAATACTATCCCCACCTCCAAAATATGTTAATGTTCTTCGGCTGTAGTTTATTTCCAAACAAAAATATAGCCACTGTCTTTGTGCCATAAAGTAGAATTTACTCATGGTATATTTATTTTGACTAAAAAGTGTATTATTTTCCTGTAATCCTACGGTACTTTCCCATTGATTTCATTCATTTCTTACTGCTTTTTGGTGATTGATTTCTATAAATCAGCAGAACTTGTACTACAGTATGACTGGGTAAAAGTTAACAGTTAAAATTTATAAATTGATGCAGCATTGGTTAAAAAAAGTGTTTCTGGAATGTTCAACTATATTTTCAGGTAGAAAGGCAAACAAAACCAGTAAATGCACTGTATTTCTTTCCTTAACTAACTTTAAAAATTAATCTAATTGGTATCTTGAAGTAATATTTCTTTTTTCTGAATTTCCATACCATCTGGTTTATGTTCACTTTCCTATGTGAATATTTACTTTTTACTTGCATAAGAAAGTGAACACGGATTGTCAGTTCCCTAAAGGCAAACTTTATCCATTTTTATCCCATAATTTCTGGCTCAGTGCTTGTGCACAGTGCATGCTAAATCTTCAGTTAGTGTTTTGGATAGGAATCAGTCAAATGAGCTAGTGTTAAAATTTAGATTGAGAATTTTCATTTGTTCATATTTAGAAACATGAAAAATTATAAAATACCTACCTGCTTTTAAAAGTTCTTTGTATCCAGATGTCAATATATGTGATCTGTTTTTTTTCCATTAACTCAGATGTTAGATGTCAGTACTTTCTGTCAACGTTTTTTATTGTTTTTGAGGCTCAGTCTTGCTGAACTGCCCAGTTTGGCCTTGGACTTGTGATCTCCCTACCTCAGCCTTCTGAGTAGCTGGGATTATTGGTTTTTGCTGCCACACCTAGCACTATCAGGCTTCACAATATCCTCCTTATACTTTTAGCTTATATGGAACTTTCAAATCTTCTGTCTAATTTTGGAACCGGTAGAAACTTTTGGTTTCTTTTATCCCTCTTGGTTTGAAAATTCTAACACAGTGAGTTTCATCTGTTTGTATCTCTTAATAGTTTTTGTCTCCAACCCTTTCAACCAACAACATTCTTGGAATAGTTTTTAAGCAAAGAAGGAAGAATTTTGAAAATTGTTGATTCTGTTAGATAGAAATGAGAAAGATGTATCACTGGGGATGATGGAATGATAAGAGCTAGAATTTTAGAAAGAGTGGTCAGTGGGCAAATAGAGTTGGGGATAGACTGGCAAGTGTGGCTAGCACTGTCTTCCGTAGGTAGGGGTAGGGAAAGGAGGACTGGGGCGTGCTCCCATGTGTGCTTTCCTTTTTTTTTTTTTTTTTTTTTTTCTTTTCCCCACAAAAACAAGCAGCCTTTATTGCAGTATTACAAAACACTTTCCATTTTGGCAATATTTTACAACGCACTTTGCTTCAAGGATTGGGAAGGAGAATGTGGGAAACTAGAAAGGAAAATTTCAATGACATTTGTAAAAGTAAAACTGTCCCAGCCCTCCCACCCAAATAAAAATCCAAATGTCACTTAATTTCACTACCCAAAAAGAGGCCACGAGGAAAGCAGCAGGCAAAACTCTGGCAATTTCACTGTGGATCATGTCAGAGACAAAGGGACATTCAAAACAGTCATCAGTATGGTCGGTTGTGCTGATCATTTCGGTAGTCATTTCTTCCTCCCATTTTGCCTCCATAGCCACCTCCACTGCTACCACCACCACGGTCTCCTCCATAGCCACCTCGACTTCGGTCTCCTCCATAACCTCCTCGATCTCCTCCGTAGCTTCCTCGGTCTCCACCATACCCGCCTCGGTCTCCTCCATAGCCACCTCCTCTGTCCCCACCATAACCACCACTTCTGTCTCCACCATAGCCTCCCCCACTTCTGTCTCCACCATCGCCGCCTCGGTCTCCACCTCTGCCCCCACGACCTCTGTAGCCCCTCTCTCCACTGTAGCCTCTCCCCCGGAAATCTCCTGAGGGACGAGAGTCCTCTGGTCTAGGCTCATTACACTGATTACAGGAATTTCTTCGAGCAAAGTTCATATTTCCACATGATGGATTAGGGCAAACCCAGTCCCCATTTTTGGGGTCTCCACCTCTCCCCTGAAAGCCTCCTCGGCCTCTATATCCTCCACGGCCTCACCGCCCACCTCCACTTCCACCTCCTCTCATGAATTCAGGTCTTTGAGTGGCAACGGACACTTTAATGATGTTGCCATGGAATTTTTTTCCATCAAACCAGTCAGTGGCTGCCTTCGCAGAAGGAGGGTCATCAAATGACACTGTTGCCTCTCCTTTTGGCTTCCCTGTGTCTTTGTCTGTGTAAAGATTTATCATTGGTTTTCCAGTTTTCTTGTTTGTCTTGATAATTCCTATTTGTTTAAAGAACTCTCCCACTTGATCTGTAGACACACCCTTCCCAAGTCCTTGCACAAAGATTGTGTTGTTATCTGAATTATCAGATTCTGAATCCGCATCTGGTCTGGGTCCATAATCCCTGTGACCACCAAAATTTTTGAAGCCACCACGGTCACCATCACTTGATCCTGTCATAGGACCTCTTCCATCCTTGTCATATCCCCCACGCCCTCTACCTCCTCCCTGTGACCCGCCATATCCTCTGTTTTCTTCTCTATACCTAATCACATCATGACGGTCATCTTGTGTATGGTGACTGTAGTTTTCCCTTTGTGAATGATAGGACTGCTGGTTTTGATTATAGGAATCATGCTGCTGATTATAATTTGATTGCTCATCATACGAGCCTTGATATTGATCATAGCCTGACTGCTGGTCATACGAATCTTGCTGACTATAGTTTGATTGGTCATATGAAGGTTGCTCTTCCACCGTGGCCTCCTGATGATTCCGTGTGCTGTTGTCCCTGGTTATTATACGATTGCTGGCCATATGAGCTCTGCTTTTGGTTCTCATAACCCCCGTAGGACTGTGAATAACCTGATTGGCTTTGTCCATAACTGGAGTAACTGCCATAGTTCTGTCCATATGAAGAATCAGTTGTTTGTCCATAGCTAGAATAGCTTTGTGATGCTTGTCCATAGCCTTGGTTGCTTGGATTTCCATAGGAATAACTTTGCTGCTCACCCCCAGACTGACTTCCAGAATCCGACATGACTAAGGGCTGTGGTGCGGAGGCCCCAAAGCCCGCCAAGAGCTAGGAATGCAAGAGCCAGGGGCGCAGGAGCTGTTCTGAGGGCCGAGCGGCGGGATGAGGATGTGTGCTTTCCTAATCTGGATGTTTGTTTAGGCATTGGGCTTACTCTATTTTTGTAGGAAATATGCATTTTTTAAAAACTTTTTGCCTCTAATTCCTTTTCTAAATACTGTTATCCTTGTAGAATTTGGGAGCAAGCTTTCATCTTTAACAAAAGAAGAAATCTGGTTGTGTGTGTATATTACAGAGGATCCAGCCGATGGGGCTTTCCACCACTAGACTATGTACATCTCCAGTCCTTTGCTTTTTACTTTATTTTTTAATTTTGAGACAGGGTCAGGCTGCTTTTGAACTTATGATCCTCCTGCCTCAGTCTCCCAAGTAATTGGATTACAGGCATGTATCCCTGCCCAATTATTGTTATTATTTTTATGTTCAAGGGCCCCTCAGTGATTACCTCTGATATAGTGAGAAATTGGTACCTGGGATATCATACTTAACTTACATTGCTGTAAACATTTTCATCATACTTCTTTTTGTGGGAATAGTGGGAAGTAAACCATATTAAGTAAAAGAGTTTTAATTTTTTTCTGCCTTTGGTCAACTAACTCTAAGAAGGCTTGTATATCTGATAAGCCTGTTACAATATTTGGCTGGAAATTTTATAAGCAACTAATTCTTCTCATTTTTAGATTAAAAAGGTGTGGTGGGTAAGGTATTTATGGCAGACTTTGGGGTTTTATTAATTGTTAATCATCTGTAAGTGTGACATGTAAGTGCTCATTGAAAACAAGATATATACTTAGCATGTAGAAAAATCTAACATGTAGTTACTGACCTATGTAGATGCAGCACTTGGCAAGGTCACAGTAGAAATTAGATGAATTTTGTGAATGATGAACAGTAGTTTATGTGCAGGGCTGGTTTCTAGTACCCAGATTATTACGCCTAGATGCATTTCTTCCCAGGTTCTATTATATTGCTCTTTTTACTTGCATGATAGAATTTACTATTACCTAATGTTTTATTCTTCACGTATTTATATAATAAAATTTTTGTTATAAGACAGGGGAGACCTTGTGATTTCCATTCACGTCTTTACCCCCTGGGCCTCTGTCAGTGTCTAGAACCTTGCAGGGACTCAAAAAACTATTCACTAAGGGAGCATGTATACCTTCTCATTCACCTCTTTTCTTGATTTGTTATTTGTTATGATGAAACAGTAGTTGGAGTTATTATGGGAATAAATAGGTAAAACTCTAAGGGCTCTGAGAAAAATGTTTTGTGTCATCAGGGATTTTAAATTGTTTTGAGAGTATATTTGCTTTCTTGTTATATTGGTTTTGCATTGGTTTCCATTCATAAAACTTGAAACCTGGCTAAAATACCAGGCTATAAAAAGTTTCTTTTTAAAAAGTGACTTGATGATTTTCAAAGAAGAAAGGCATTTTTGTATTGCTATTCGAAAGCCCTTAAGGGCTTTAAACTTCACAACATCGAGGTTTAAAATACCAAGGATGAATATGGTTACATATTTTGTGGATTATGAAGTTGGGAAATAGTTAATGAACAACTCATAGAAAGTTAATGGGAAACTGCTAGAAAGCAAGAAAAAATGTAGTTGTATGGTGCCCTTTATGGTCACACTTCAGATTTAATTTGGATTTAAATGAAAAAACATGAAGTGTGTCTAGATTAGTAAGTCTTTATTTTGCCTATAGAAAGAGTTTTGTACTTCTACTTTTAGGATTTAGTACACACCCATGTTTGGAGGAATTCTGTAAAAAAGGATCTATAAAAAGGCAACCACTTTTAAAGCTTCTTATTAAATTGTTTTATTTAGTGTTATATTGTTGACACTCTTGAATGTAGTGGCTATGAGCAAAAAAATTATCCAGAGATTATTCTGACTTAAAAAATAATGTTCAATTTATTAATCTTACTGATTTAAATACCTCCTTTTGTGAGTACTGGGATTATAGGCTTGGGCCAACACACCAAGCCCTAAATTCAGTTTTTTAACCAGATTATTTTTGTTACAAGTTTGTAAAATTTTGACAATTATGTTGGGGTTCTAAAATGATAGTTTCACTTTAAACAGTTTAAACTTTTATTTATAAATTTAGTACATTTTATTTTTTTAAGTACTCTTCTGAGAACTAAAATAATTTTTTACGTTTCATAAATTAAACTTGTGAACCTGATGATCCTAATGTTTCTTTAAATATATTGGTACTATGTAGAGAGCTAGTAAACAGGCCAATTTAAAATCATGAAGCTAAAACAGTGGATTGACCCAGGACCTTCATGTGTTCTGGGCAAGTGCTTTCCATGGAGCTGCCTCCTCAGCCCTTTTTATTTTCATTTTGAGACAAGGTCTTGCTAAGTTGCTCAGGCTGCCTCAAACTTGCCATCCACCTGCCTTATTCTTCACTATAATTATGATTACAGGCCTGTGTTACCACACTCAGCCAATTAATTCAATTGTAAGGAATTAAAGATCTGTCATTCTACTACTCAGATTGTTTTATGTTACGAATACTTAACCTGTAATATTGCTTATATCACCATAAAACATTAAAGATGAGTTTAAGTCTCCTAAATACTGGGAATTGAACCCAGAACCTGTGCATCCTTAGCAAACACTCTACTACTAAGCTACTTCCCTTGCCAGCTGTGTGTATGTGTGTGTGTGTGTGTGTGTGTGTGTGTGTGTACACATAATTTTTTGTGACAGTGATACAAAATCGCTGAGGATGGCCTTGAACTTAATCTGCTTCAACTTCCTAAATAGCTGAGATTACAAAGCATGAGCCACCCTCACCTGGTCTTCTAAATATTTTTATATTTAACTTTAAGTCTCCTCAAGATTATGTCATCCCAAGCAATTTTCTCAGGAAGTTGCATGAAAAATTTAAGTGAAATTAGGACTCTCATCAGATTCTTGTTTATTTCATAGGTATATTAAGTTTTATAAGTAATAATGTTCTTTTTTAACTGTGTAGCCCACATTCCTGTTTTATTCATTTTCTGTGAAAACTCTGTAACATTTTAAACATACGGACTGACTATAAACTTCCTTATAAAATAGATTTAGAAGTCCTAGCTGTTTATCTTTGCAGGAAGTAGAAGGATCTAAGCAGCTAAGATTATTTTTAGAAATGACCAGTATCCCTTTGCAAGAACTATTTTGAAATATTTGTGCCGGCTAGGGTAGCAAATAGTGCTAAATTTAAATACAGTTATTCTGGGCAGCAACTTAGTAAAGTACTATAAGAGCTAAAGTATTTTGAAAATGTTTGCTTTTAGTCTTTTCACATAATCTTCTTTTCCTTGTGATTTGAACATGCATCCACTTTCTGGTATATTTGGGCAGAGCCCGAGATGACAGTGTGTCAGAAGATTGACCATTTGGCTTTATTTTATGAATACTCTTGATTATTAAAGAAATATTTGAAGGCTTATTTTGTGCTTAATATGTGTTTAATGAGAAATATATTGAGTTTATGTTTTCGATTTTCATCAAGTTTTAGAATGGAAGCTTACCTTACATTCAAATGAATTTTCTAGGGATTCTTTGCAGGTTAGTTTTAAATCTTATCAACCGCCGGCATGACAGAACTCATTGTCCTAAAATCATTTCTTTCTGCAGTTGATCTGGTATCAGTCCTTTATATGGGGTGAATTTTAAAAATATATTGGTTTATGTCTCATCTGTCTTCACATTAGCTTATGCTGAATTTCTTGTGCTTTGCTATTCCTAAATTTTACTATTCACAAAACTGCTGCCTCAAGGATATCTGCTATTAATTATTATAATTAAGTATCTATCGTCAACTCTAGTGTCTCAGCTATTCTTAGGTTTTTAAAGAACTTCCAGATAAAACAAGATTGTTAGATATTCTATTGGGTTGACAGTTGAAATTAGTGAATTAAAAATCTCCATTTAATATTTTATAAATTTAAAGTATCTAAACTAATTTACCTCCCATGTTGCAAATTTATGACTTATGACCCTAAATTGTTTTAAAACCTTCCTCTTAAGAACACTTCACTTTTCTGTTTAAAGAAATGTAGATATTGTTCCTTATAAGGAAGAAAATCTAGAGTTCTATTTATAAGCATATGACATTTTACTAAAAAAACCTGGTTTAAAATTAAAATAAATACTAAAATCACCTCTCATTAAAAAGCACATTAAACCGATACATGTGTAATGTTGACCCAAATATTCCTTAAATGCAGTGAAATCTGCCTTCGTAGTAGGGCTAGGCATGCTCTTAGGAGTCTAAGTGACTGCAGTGTCATTGCCTGAGCATAAAAGGACTAAGTATATTCCTACTGAATTGGGCTTGCATATTAACACAGCTCCCTTTGAATTTCTGTATCTGTGGGTTTCAGTGTAGGCAGAAGACTTGCCACAGAATAACAGGATAATGCATAGTAGCGCTTAGAAAAGGAAAGTTCTTTTCTTAGATTTTCTTCCCCTTCATATGTGCTTTATCAGTGAAATGATTTTTCATATATGAAGTTGCAACATTTCAAATTCCAAATAGATACTGCTCAGATACAGAAAGAAAAGTCTCTATTGAGAATGCTTCAGAAGTCAAGCCTTCGTATGGCTGTGAGGCTCCATGAATGATTCTCAAAATACTAAAATGAGATATATTCAATATGAAAATTTCCTTGGGCAAGTTTTTAAAACTGATGCAAATGTGACCTTTTAGGCATTTGAAATGAATTTAACTTGTACTGTATTGGTTAAGCTTTGAAGTGAACACTTGTAAAAGGGACTTCAAATTCTGATACATTGCATAATTCAATTTTTAACTATGGTTACTATGTGAGATAAGATTCACATACCACATATTGTTTTTTGTATATTTGTAGACTTGCTTAACTGTTATCAATTTAAACAATTTCAGTAACTCTAAAAAGAAATTCCAAAGCTGGATATGATGGCACATGCCTGTGAAGCCAGCGTTTGGGAGGC